GATTAAAGCGGCATTTTTCAGTCTTTCACTAATCTATAGCCAAAAGGAAACGGTTCGTTAAAAGACTTGAACTTGTTTTCCTAAAATACCCTTTTGTTTTTCATCGCTCAGTTGTGAGCAAATGTTTTTTTAAGTTTTCATTCATTGAAAACAAGATTGACAGTGTTTAAGGAAGAATAATTTGAATTCATTTCAAGATTTATTTGAGATTTTGAAAACTAACTAAGTTTGTAATAAAAAATTTACAGTAAAGAAAAAAAGCAGATTTAAACGCAGTTATTCAAACACTAATCATRGGATATTAAAAGCCATATTGTTTTAAGGCTCAGTTTCGGGCTTGAATGGTCAGTTGTCAAAACGAAAGCCTTGCAAAATAATCTAATAAAAAATTACACTCTGATCAAAAAGAACTCTTGAGTTTTCCCGCTAATTGCCCAAGTCATTATTTATTTATTTATTTTTATGCTTGAAAAAGTATTAGTGTATGTCTGAAATTTTGTTTTTACAGGAGTTATTTATTTCGTTCACTAATCTCTTTGGGAATATAGTTTCAAAAAAGGAAMATTTGCAGAGTATATTCCCAAAGAAATAAGTAAACGAAGAGTATTTTTTCTTTCGASTATTTAATATAAATGCATACACTTTTACTTAATGAGATTTAAGCTTYTTTTTCTCGGTTTTATACGCAATAGCGATCTTAAGGATTTCCTTTGTTGAAAGATATCTAGATTAGGCCAAGATCGGCACATTTTCTTGAGCGTGCGCAGTACGAGCGTAGTTAACCAGAAGAAGAGCATCGCCCGACACGTGTCTCTCACCATGTATCCACGTGGAACCCTTTTCAAATCYAGACTGATATCTAAATGGCTGATCAGAGATCGTGTGATCACAGCACCTCATTTAGATACAGGTTATTTATACTGCAAAGAGCACTCAACGGTTCGACTGCTATTCGCTTTGATAAAAACGCACATTGAGCCACTTAAAGCTTTACGAGATAAGACTGAGAGGYTCGATAAAGAAATAGATGGGCGTGACTATTTCCTAAGACGTCTCCGCATTTCTCCAGTTGTCTCAGCTTCTCTTTAATGTCTCGGTTAGACTCGGCAGGACGATTTGAATGAATAAGGGAAGGGGGGGGGGGGGGATATTTTTAAAATTTTATCACCACTTCAATTTTGCTGCTGATATTTTTTGTAGGCTGACAAGAAGACTCTTTGTATAATAATCCCTGCTATAAGAATATCTGATGGTTCGTTCGTTGTGCAATGTGTCGTACACGTTCATACTAGTGATTATTCCGGTGAAAAGGCTCGCCGCACGTGTATAGGGGTGTTGTAAAGCTGAATAATGAATTGAGACTCATAACTTAGGGTATTCAGCCTTGTGGAGACCTGTTCACACTCATGGTGTAAAATCATTATCGAGGAAGTGTGATGCAAGACGGAGATGATATTGTTGCTTTGTTTGACTCATCCTTGCCTCGAGGCAGTATTAGCTGGTGGCAAACGAGCCAAACATTAGAACTGATCACGCTTAGTAAAAACTAAAGAAAATACCAAAGCTAGAAATTGATTTTATTTTCCAATTTCAATTATTTAAAATTTCGAGAATCTTTTTAATTCATCTTTCGTAATTTTGTTCCTACTTGTGTTTATTAACGCCGAGATAATAAAACCAAAATCAAAGTTCAGTATTTAGTTTAAAATTAGACATTACAAAATGGCAAGGTTATTGTTTTTAGTGCCCTTTTTTGAATATAATTATGATAATATCCAAAGGTTGATCTTAAATACTGAAAATCCTGCATGATCAGGCATAGAGTTAAGTAAACACTTTGTAGACAGCTAGGCTTCCCTTCTTCCAAGTGGGAAAATTCTTTTTAGTGTTTGTGATGGTTTTTGTCAAGAAAATCCCCCCGAAAGAAGAGAAGTGAAAAGAAAGAGTGGAATAACATATTCTTTGAGCATGAATTGCTTTAAAAGTAGTTAGAAGCACTTCAGTGAAAAAAGGTACTCAAAGAGCAAARAAATGACTAGAAAGAATTCAAGTCTTTAAACGTGTTTAAGCTCACTTCTTAAGAAATTACATTTCCTAATGATTATTTTGCTGTGTTCATTTCGAGTATCTTCAGTTCTGATGACTGAAGTATTGTGCCTTCACACACTTATTCTTATAAACCATCATGGTATGAATAAGTTGCTTTTTAATAGCCTTARAATGTAAACAAATCAGGAACAAGGCAGGCATCAGACCAACCAACGCAACAAAAAAAATTAAATCCTATGAAAAAAATATCATTTAGTGAAGAATTTAGAAGATCATTTTGTCATTTAGACATGAACTAACAAAACATTACGAAATTGATATTTTTACCAAATTTATTTATATAACAGCCGTTGTCCTAAGTTATTGAGACTTAAGGTGGTAAAATTGCCATTAATTCAGAGCCATTTGCCATCTTAGCTCGAACTATCTTTGAAGCGAAATCAATTTTTTTGCCTGTCTTTTTTGACGTTAATCACTAATTGTAGTGTCATGCCCGCTAGGCGAGAAAGAGCTGTGAATTCGATATTAAAGGACAATCAAACCTCGTATTACGCAGAACAATGATTCAAAGTACTAATATAGAATAATGCTTCGTAGCTTCTTCTTCAAACGTCATTTAAACTTCATTCACTTTCGCGATTAATCATAACTAAAGAATGAGCGTACGTGGTGGTTTGTGAATATTTGGGTTTTCGGTGATATCGAAAAGTCTTCGCAAAAAATGTTTGTCTTTCGTTTTTTGACTTTAAATTGATTTTAAAACCAAATTTRATCGCAGTTATATTGGTGCTAGCATTAGTAATGAACATTTTAAAATCTAAGAAAATCTAAGGATAAAACTAGATTCAAATTCTAAAGGAAACTAAGCTAAGTCAAACATAGCAAGATAACGCAAACATCACCATAAATTAGTTATAAGAAACTTTTTTTTATTTATTCAAAATACTAAGTTTTTTCCCCCACATATCAGCATCTATTAATATTAGCTACTGCTACTGACTTTAACAAATTTTCAAATAAAATAAAAAACACAAAAAAGTGGTGTTAAACCCCTTTGATTCACAATAAATTGTAAGTTCTGGGATAACCTCGATTTTTTTCGCCATTCTCGCGGGCTGGTCGCTCAGGTAGGAAGTAAACCTTAAATTAATTTTCTTTCAAGGTGCGAAAACATTTTTCATAATTATTTTCTTATTTTCAATAATATTGTATGAATAAATATATGTATATATAGCTCTATTTTACTCTATAGTTTCAGCAACTCGATAAAGAGTTCTGGTTTAGGAAAGCCATAGCAATTGGCGGTAAACCCTGTGAGTCGAGGTCTAACGAGAAATTAAAATATCCTTGGTCGCTATAGGGCGCTGGAGACGGTAGATAATATTGAGAAGGAGAAATCTGCCCCGCGTACAATGTTTCTTGAACGTCGTTTAACAGTCTGTCCGCAGAGTACATCTCGGGTACATATAAGTCTTTAATATCGAGATTTCTTGTGAGTTCTTCACATGTCATGAATTCTTCCAAAGAAGCATCTTCGGATGAAATCGATGGAATTGAATCTACTGTAGACTCGGGGGAGAATTCCCCACGCGCTTCGTAACCATTCCATCCGTCAAGAAATGCTTGAATTTCGTTTGGATTTTGAGAACATTCTTCGCCAGTTCTTGCTTCATACTGGTGGTAAGAGTACCCGTTRTTAAAGTCTTGTGGAAACGAAGCCATAACAGGTTCTTGCCAGAAAGAAGCAGGTAAATTCCTCTCCTTCAGTGCGTTACGCTCTTTTTCTCCATTACTTTTATGCGCCGCCATCTCGTTTGACCAACTCTGAAGACTCTTCACATAACCGATATTCTGAGATTTGTAATTTTGTCTTCCACCACCGTTTTGCTGTGCTGTCTTGTGCTTCATGGGTGAGGATTTCTTGGACTGTGTGTTATCTCCTTTTCTCTTAGAGTAATTTCTAAGCTGCTTCTGAAGGTATCTTCTATGATTGATATTCCTTTTGAAGTTTGCTGGTTTTTCTAGTGCGTTCTTGACGTTTCCCGATGCTTGGTTCATAAAATTCAGAAGAAGACTTCCCGTACTTAGAGGATCATCTCTACGGGCGGGACCACTTCGAATTTCACTCGACAATTGAAGCCGTTCACCGTTACTTTTACCCTGACTTGTCATTTTCAGCCTTGAAAAACTAAATCTCTCTTTTCTATAAAGTTATCTTTGCGTAGCGATACTGAGGACGAGTTTGGAACTACGAGTGATGATGATGATTATTGAACGGACTTGGTGCGATTAGTGAGTAGGAGAGYACGATCACACGCTATTTATGCCCAAGCCTTATTTACTAAGCCAGTATCCGTTTGTTAGTTCTTTCATAAATGACGCTCATTTGATTGTCTTGCAGGTGCGTGGCTCTCATTGCATATTCATGAGGGAAAATGGTCTCAGATCAGTTCACATCAGTCGATTGGTTGTTTGAAGGCGTGCTTCTAGGCTAAAAGGTCCTTAAGCAATGTATCATCTTATTGTCTTATTGTTTTTATTACAATGTATTGGATATTTTCTCGCTCAACTTTGGTTAAATACGTTTTTCCCCTGGCTGTTCAAACAATTCTGGAGAAAGTGAACGTCTAGTAACCTTGTAATGTAGTATTTACCATTCCCAATGGGTAAAATAATCTTGGTCGAATCAAATTTCTCCCCATTGAACRAAAGCCCCGCATTTATTACCCGCATATCAACACTGAAAACTCAAAAAACTCTTTCTATTGTTTGGTTTCTTTGTAGGTCTTAATAAGCACCAATAAGCACTAAAAAGTGAGCAATAAACCTTGCAGAGCGGGCCATTCGAGTGGAGAATTCYCTTAATACACTTGATTTGAAAAAAAAATTATTCATTTCAAGATACCGATGTATTTCTATATTGAATTCGAAAACGGTCTGATTTAGAAAACTCCCGGCCATCAGTCCCGTTATTTAGTCAAGATACAAATGTGAAGCCGTCAAACCAAAAYGACCTGACTTTATTTATCTAAAGATTCATTACCATTTAAAAATTAACACATAAAAAAGAGGGCGGAAAAACGAAAGAAAATGACTAAGATTGCAGCTTCTTCAGTTGAAATAAGAAAAACAATATGTCGGAATTCGATGAAGTTTTGTGAATTGGATGACCAGGATTTTGGTATTTCCTTCGTTGTATATGATTTTATCTTTATTTTCTTATTAGATCCTTCTTAACCATGTAATAAAATAATTTTTTTGTTTGTCGGTTAAAAGAATGATATTTTGATTGTTTACCTAGAGCCTTTGTTATCCCATGTGCTTTAGCACTGAAATTTGAACGAAATCTACTTTCTCGTAAAAGACAAAAAGACGAAAAAAAAACCTTGCAGTCCTTTGATGTTGTGTGCAAGAGGGAAAGCTATTTTTATTTGCTCTTAGTCATTTTGCAGTAAATTGGTTTTTTACTAAGCTGTCAGTCGCATATTTGTTAGCGGATGAGTACTTTACCATTATTGTGTTAATATACAGCTATGCAAGGCTATGGAAAATAGAATGGCTATCAGTGCAAATAACTAAATGAGGAAATGCTATAACAAAAGACGTGAAGTGGCATATTCAAACTATTTTTATTAAATGTGGAATAAAATTAAATATCACTATTCATTTTATTTTGATTTCAACATTTTCTTTCATTTTGAATATCTAGTGAATGGATTGTTGTGCTGAATAACATAGTCTAATATTTATTCATTTTGATTATTACACGTTTACATTAAGGACCTCTAAACCGAGAGAAAATGAGCTTCAAATTCGCTTAAGAAAAACATTCAGTTATACAGTTTCATTTGAGCAAATTTGAACTGAAATCTGAAGACAAAATACAGTCAAAAATTACATTAGCATATTAGTTATATATGTATATTATTGATGCCAAGGCATCCCTTTTAGCGCTTTTTTATTATTTTAGTTTGAAGTCTAAGGTTTGAAATGAGCAGTTGAAAGTATTTTGTACAAGTAACCACAAAAATAACATTCAAAATATTTGAAAAAATAACTTTGAATGAATTAAACTTTTTTTTAATTAGGAAATGACTGTGAATGCATTAAACGGCAAAAGTTAGCGATTAGGCAACTTATTTACRGAATTCAGAATCAATTTAAGAGAAATTTGATTACCAAAGACTGAGCTCTGATTTTAAATTAAATAATTTGCAAAGTCGTAGACTTCATATAAGTGAATAAATGAAGAAGAAAAAACTGAGACCGAAAAAGTAATATATTGCGAAACAATATATAGAGAAGAATGAAGTAGTGATGCATGGTCTTGACAGCGTTTGCGTTTGACAAATCAAGACCAGTCAAAAAAACACCAAGGTCTCACAATAAAGGGCAATAGCTAGAATAAAATGTTTAAGGAAAGAGCGAGAACGGAGCCAAGACAAAGCCAATTTACACCTACCACACGTGTGCGGGAAGTTGATGTACGAATGGCTTTGAAGATTAAAGGGATTTTACACACTTATAACGGTTCTAATTCTACGYCAAAACTTCTCCAGTATTTTTAACATGGCTTTTGAAGCCGCGCTGTCGAGGGATGAATATTAAAGTCGACACGAAAGCTTTTTATTTAATTTTTGTCTTACGATGATCGCCAACGTCGCAGTTTTGTTTGCGAACTAAAGAAAATTTTTGCGAGGAAAAGAGCCGTGTTGCTACGGTAACGGTTTGGGGATAACCAATTCTGAACTTTAAATTAAATRGGTTTAAATTGGAGTGTTTCTGAGAGGATTTTGTTTTGCTTTGAATGAAAAAGACAAAAAAAATATCAAAGATTCTAGAATGATAGCTAAAAAATAACAAGAGATCATAATATGGGCTAAAATCAAGCTGGTGTTGCCGGTTATTTTAGAAYCCCGATAGAATATCTTCTTTTAACAAAAGACTAATGAATGAAAAGAATTGAAAAACAGGTATTTATTGAAAGGGTAAATTATGATAATAAAAAAGCCATTTTTTCCCTCGTGGTTTCTGAGCATATTGTTTTACTTTTTTCGATTAGATTTATCGTTAAAATGCCTCGTAAAATAAAATAACTTTTAAAAATCACTTATCGTTAGACTGAGATAGGGGSTGCTGATGGTTCTTCATTATGAAATTGTAGTGAGCAATTTAGATGTCTGTTTTGTTATCTATAATCTGATTATAAACACTATTCAGTATGAGGACAGTGCCGAAATATGAACTATCTTGAAGTCAGGCAGTTTTTATAGCTTCATAATATATGGGAATTACTCAGTTCCTAAAAAAAACGTGTCTTAGATTTTTTTCCCCTCAGTACTATATATATCTTTTTTTTGTTGTATACTCTTGAAAAACAAAAAACAACAAACAAAAAACAACAAACAAAAAAAACAAAAAAAAACAAAACAAAACAAAAAACAAAAAAAACCAGAAAGGAACGACTAAAAGAAAAGATGGAAGAAGTTAAACATTTGATTTTGGATTTAAAGTCTCGATCTTTTATTTTTGACATCAAACATTCTAGTTTTTCTAATTTTTTTCTAACAAAAGTTTTACGTCCATCAAATAGTTTTAAATAACTTATTCTRTTATTCTCTGTTGAATGCGACTTTTTTTTAACAAAATACCACAACAATCGAAAATCATATTACTTATCAACCATTTTTTCATTTCAAAGTCTTACTGWTGCCAACGAAAATCTCTCTTAGAACTCTAGTTAAGGTAGCGTGGTAAAGAGAAGCGAGTCCAGAAGTGTAATATATGCTCAGTATCAGTTACTGTCTAGCTATTTCTGCTCTCTTCCAGGAGGATGAAAAGCATAGTACTTATTAACTAGTTTTTGTGTCCAAAATCTTACTGATGCCAAAAAAACTCTTTTAGAACTCTCATGGTAAAGCAAAGTTAGTCCAGAAGTGTGATATATGCTCAGTATCAGTTACTGTCTAGCTATTTCTGCTCTCTTCCAGGATGAAAAGCATATTACTAATTAACTATTTTTCAGTTCAAAGTCCTACTGATGTCAAAAAGTCTCTCTTAGAACTTCTATTTTGAGGCATCAAGGTAAATGCTTAAAAGTACAGAAATCTGATATTTTATGTTRGTTACTATGTCTAAGTATCTATAGGTCTTTCTGCTCTCTTCAAGGCGACCTTGAAACTAAGTATTGTATTACCGCGCTAATCAGTACGTCGTGGTAGGAATACTGACACGTGACAATATAAACAAATTAATTAATTAAGAAAAAATCGAATTGAGAAAGATAATAATTAAGCTAAAATGAAGGAAATTCAACTAGGTTAAAATATATTTTTTGGAACGTTTGATTTTTGAATGAGAAATACTGACAAAGAAACTGAAAAGGTTTACTTAAGCGAGTTGATATTGTTTCAGCATATTTAAATTTTTGGGAAAAATTTTTTTTTTCATGTAGCAAGAAACGAGCGACAGAATCTTACTCCTGGGTTGAGGATGGTGTTTCACATTGAGAGTTTTGGGGAAAGCCATAACGCTTAGAAATTAAAAAACTGACACAAATTCTCCCTAAAAGCACATTGATACGCATGAAGCGCAATCTCTACTTAAAGTCTTGATTTTTTTTAGTGAAACCAAAAAAATAATAATAATAAACAGTTTATAACTAAAACGGGGTCCTGAAGATAAAAAAGGCAATGGTTTTTCCCATTGGCCAKGAAGTGAAAACACATGACATTTATTTTACGTCATGACCAACTTATCCTCCCACGAAGACCTGACAAAATTTCGAGCAAGAGTCATTGATCATGTCATTTAGAGTTTATAGCCTTCATAACACTAAAATGCGTCGATGACACACACAGATCCGTGACTCTCTACAACACGTTATGTATTTTTGGAGCACGAAAGGAAGTCTTTAGATCATATTCCCATTTTTCATTTTTATTTCTTTCTTCTCATTTCTATACTTTTTTCAACCCTTCTTCATGATTCCTTATGAAATTTTATGCGTTATTTATGATTTCGCATAATCATTAATTCAAATTTCATGGTTCTTAGATTTCTAACGCAAAGATTCATGATTCCTTTCCATTTCAAAAACGTTATTCGGCCGATTCCTGATTGTCGATGATTCTGTTTCTACCCCAGAAAGAGAATTCTAAATATCAGGATTTTGGGAAGCCATTTCATATTTTTCAAATAACTGAAAGACTTATAAATAAGAAAAAGCTTTGAAATTGCATCGTATCCTAATTGATACCTACACATTTGTCRCATTAAGAAAGAAACTACAGAATCAGTTTAAAACTCGTGATACTTTTGCAGTCAGCTAAATCTACAACATCGTCAAATCACAAAGACAATTCATA